TAAATAGAAAAAGCTTAAGCTGTCCCTGCTGATTAAGAAGAAATTTCTCTTCCACACTTTCTGCCTGTTCAGAGTAGTAAACATATTCAATTACCATAAGCATTTCAGTTGAAGTTGCAGAGTACACATAAACACCATACAACTGTTACTGTATTTATTAGCCTAACTCTGAAATTGTGAAGCTTTACAAAAATATTAGTTTACTGACTTATCTAGCTTTTAAATAGAAAATTATGCTAGAATAGCACTTGCCTTTTTACCCACTTTGTCCAAAATCCTAATACTAATGCCCTATTCACACTTGAAACTTGGTTATCCTCTCTCATCAACTTCCTTCAGTAATAATATATGAGAATATATTTCCACAGTAGCTAATGGAGACATTCCTACAAATCAATGTGCTGCAGTGATACAGAAATAAAAGCTTATTTCACTGTAATGATGCTTCCAGACTTCCCTCAAGTCAGGTGGTTACTTGCAGTTAATGATCTGTGACATACCACACAAGTAGTCCTAAAAAGACTTATTATCCACTGCATGTGCAACAATATTTGCTTTATGGATGGCTAAATGAATGAAGACATTCAATGTAACTGTAAAAGTAAAATCAAAAGAAAACTTACAAGTAACATGTTTTCTTTGAGTAAAAGAGCTGTGAACATTTTCCATTAATACTTAACCTTTTGCTGGAGCAGTGCAACCACATATAATGCTTGAATCCATAAAGCCCAAGAGCTGCTCAGGGTTAACACTGATTAACTGCCCCCAATCAAATGTCACAACTCTAAAAAATTTCAGAGAGCCTCCCTCCACTAATGAAATCAAATTGCATTTATGCTGTATGGCAAAGGTGGGAGCAGGGCAACTTGCAAAGGAAAGAAATTCTGTCCCATCTTAGAAATAGGTATTGTTTTCAATCCAGTAAAAGAGACATGAATTTGATTGGGTTTAAAACTACGTATTTTATGCTGCACTGACTTCCATTAATATACTCACAGAAAAGAATAGCAAGTTAACTTAAAATAAGCTACAATCCAACAGCACAATATCTCCCATGACTCTCAGACTGTGCAGACATTCACACATTTTCTGTTTATAATTTTTTTCATTTACTAGACTCAGCTTTTGTCCACCATATGTCCACCGTAGATTAACTATTCCCTTAGGTACAATTAAGGGCTTTCCATTTGTTGTAAGAAGACCTAAGTATGAAGGACGTAGCCAGAAAAAACATTTCTACCTAAACCAAAAACAGAAGCACATTCAGCCTGGACTATAGTTTATGGAGCATCTTTTTTATTGGACGTATGTCTACATCACTAAATAAACTACAGACAAAATCCATGGAAACAGTAAGAGATCTCTCAGCATTTCATTTGTGTATTATTATAAAAATATCATACATACACTGTTCTAACCTTTGTATTTAAACAGTTTACGTCTATTTCCATTTTTCAATGACATCTTTAAAGATTTTTCTGAATTTAAGCATAACTGTTAGGGAATGAGAATATATTATTTACTGGCACTTCTGTCACACTGGTGTTTGACTTCTAACTACACTAACAATCATCTACCAGGTCCTTGAACTTGGTCTTAGTTCTTGGTTGGTCTTAGCAGGCAAAACTTATGCACACAAAACAAAATCCTGAAGTGCAGCCTCAAGATCTGAAGTGTAGGAAGAAGAAAACAGTTTATTCATAGTCACTAAAATAAAAACTTATAAGAACTGTATCAATTGCATTAGTTCATGACTATCCTCACTTTTCTGTTAAAGCATTGTCTGATCTGAATGAGAAAACATTAATTTCCACAAACAGTTCGCACATATCTAAACTGTCCTGGTTCAAACCAAGGCAAATTCCTTGATTTTCACAGAATTATACCTGATTATATCAGGGCTCTGTCTAGGTGTACAAATCTCAAACTCAGACAAGTGGTATAACAGTAATCTAACTTCTGTGGGCAAGTCATATATATTTTTCAGCTTCACCACCCCTGTACTGAACCCACACTGCAGCAGAACACAAATCAAAAAGCAAACCCCATACTAACTAATGCTGCCTGGGCTTAATGCAGGCAGGGCAGAAAATTATGATATGGATTACTAGCTATCATTTAAGCAGCACGATAAAATATTTCCCCTTTCTACTCTCTTTTTTTGGGGAGTGTGTAGGGCTACTCTAGCAGAGGCCACTTGGCTTTTGAGAGCCACCATCAAAACCTGTCCTGTATACATGCTTCAGTAATGGTTGCAGCACAGGAAGAAAGTCCAGAAGTCTACAAATTTGCCTTTAACCAGGTTACTTAGCAGCTTCTGCATCCACTGTGGTTTCCCATCCAAGGCACCATTTTATGAAGGATTCTGAAAAAAGGTCCAAATAAAACATGGGCTGATCTGCAACCAGATGTAACAGATACATTTATCACAGCAGATCACATGGAGACTGGAGCCAGAACGGAGTACATATGTGCAGATCCTTGTGATGTTGCCTGCCAGGTGTTTTCACTTCCCAGCCAATGGAATATGGCAAAGTAAATACTACACAACAGCAATAAACCTTTCTTCTTTTGTTTGGTGTAATGTTCTGTGAGCTCAGATCCTTTCTAAAGAACAGCACTTGAGGCTCAGGCTCTGTTTATGTATCACAGTTTAGTAGACTTGCCCACGTGGCAACTTAACAGACATAATTAAATAGACTTCTTCAGCATGGATGGTACCCAGCACCATTAATGTTAAGCCAAGCATGATTTAGGATCAAATTCTTGCTAGGCAGATGCTTTCTCAAACAAGCAAGGTTATTTTCTCACTCAAAAAATATGTATGTTTCTAGGTTGTTCCCATTCCTAAAGTAATACAGAGCAGTCAGACACTGGGCTGGAAATCTAATACTATGATGAATAAAAGATCATTTTCACCTGTGATTTTTCCCTTTCATTAATTCAAGTTTCTTGTTAAAAATAATTTTTAATAAAGTTACCCAACCATTAAAATAACCAAATCCGTAAGACTGCAATTTTCTATTAATCTTGCGAGTTTGTTGAGGCAAACATTCTATACATATTTTTAAACAGGCTATCATTCTATATTTATTCAAATGAGTTGGTAAATTGACTGTAGCACAGGACAAGGTCTTCTTTTTAAGGGAGTCTCTACATGTAGGTAGTTTACCCTCCAATCCCAGGAGCATGCGTGAGGCTCAGGTGACTTGACCTGCTTTCAGGCATACAGAAACTTCAGTTTAATCAGGCAGAAGACTCAAAAGAACAGGAGTCTTTGCATTAACTACTCAACACTTGTCTTAATTACAGGTGAAGGACCTAACAAGTGTAAGCCAACAGGAAACGAGAAAACAGCTGGGGGAGATTGTGAGGAACAAGAGAATGAATGCATAGCTCTGAATTTTAATAAGCCAGAATCTCAAAATGAGTATTAATGAAAAAATTTTCTGAGTACAACTGAGGAGAGTAAGTATCTAAGGCAGCAACAGAGTCCAACAGCAGACTGGGCATGTCCCACTACCAGCCAGACTCACGTTAGTGCACAGTACACCAAACATTCATTCGTATCTGGGCTGGAAAATGTTTCTTTCTGCACTCAGATAAGATAGCCAAAAACATTTTATGTTGTATGTAAAGGCAAGTTAAAGGGTACACTAAAACGTAACCTTTAAACTTCACAGTGTAACAGCACACCACTTCCTGTTCAGAGATAGCACTCCAAGATCAATTAATCATGGCTAAGACGAACAAACGGTCAACATTCTTAATTAGTGTTGATGCATTCTCCTTGGTGCCCTCATCTGTCATGAACACTGTTTAAAAATCTGAGTTATTAGTCTTTATTGAGGAGTGGATCTGGTTAATATCTCTAAGAACAGAAATCATTCATCTAGCCACTATACACTGGTACCTGATAATTCCTACCCCCTATGTAAGCTACAGATAACCACCTCCCTGAGACCATCTCAGTAGCTATAAATCAAAATGAGTGTAGCTCCCAAGCAACCTGGGTTAATTTTTGTTTACAATATATCCACTGAAAATGTTGGTACGACACTTGAGGAGACTGCTTACAGATTAGTGCAGAAGAAAATATATAAAGTAGTCAAGGTAGAAAGGAAGGGAACACATCACTCATCCAAAACACAGTAAACCCTCTCTAATTCACACTTAATGACTAGAAGATCCATTGTGATTACTGGACTTTATCAGTACCAAATTTAAGCAAAGATCCAAAGTGCACAAAACACAATTCATTCACTTGATAACCATTCATTTATTCTATCCTGTACAATATAAGTCAAAGCATTTGACAGCAACATAGCTAGAAAGGTTTTAAGTTATTGCATCAAAACTCAAGAGCAATTGTTAATTTTAATAGTAAGGTTTACTCCCCAATTTCCAGTGCAAATGAAGTGGTATTAGCCACAGAAACAAGCACACTTCAAATGTGATCAAAAAGAGTACAGGTTAAAAAAGTCTCAAAACAGCAGGAAGTCACCTCGTGCAAAACTACAGACAGCATGCAAAAAAAGTCTAACAAGCATAAGGATTACGCCTAGTGCACAGAGTAGTTATTTTAAATATATACCAGTACTTAACTTAGCATTCTCTTGACATACAGAACCATGAAATATACCTGTTACTACATCCAGGATTGCTTCCCAGTTGACCATTCCAGACACATGCCATGGCTAGATCCTGCAGCCCTATCAAATTCAAACATGGGTGAGTGATCTCTAATCCTGTGTGCTGCTCTCCAAGCAAAGACAACACAGGGAGAGAGGCTGCAGGCATGGCAAAGCATGATGCAGCAAGTCCTGTAACTGCCCAGAGCCAGAACCCTGAGGTATACCCAAGATGTCATCTGTACACAGCAACAACACACAAGAGAGTATTTAGTTTCCTTTGACTAAAGACATATGCCCTATGTCATTGCTTCAACAGCAAACCACATGCAGAGTATTTCAACTGATAAATAAATATGAGTAACTTACTTTTATTTCCAACCAAGGCCACAAGTGGCTGTGTTTCTGATTCTTCATTCACTTTTTTTACCACATTATACCAGTCTTCTAAATTTTCAAAACTCTGGCCATTAGTAATATCGTAAACCAAGAGAACGCCCTAAGTAAAAAGACATATTTAAAGTGTTACAGATTGTAAAAAATATTTTAACATGGTAAAATTTGCATCAGTGTAAATTATTATCATCAAATAGAGCATTAACAAATAATGGCATCATATCTTTTGAGGAATAAAGGGATTGCAAATTTCTGTAGTATACACATTATTACAGTATTTATCCTTCATTCCATGTGTTCCAAATTGACATGTTAACTGAACTACAAGGACAGGGAAAAAAATGGCAATGCAGTAAAGAACATAGTTAGTGACATTAGAAATTTAACAAACGACATATGCTTTATGATAAACCCAAAAGGCATTTCACACGAATTAAAACTGCCCTGGAGAAGGACTTTTACTTCAGCTAATATAGTTGTAGTTTCACTGCTCCCCTTTTTTCTGAAAATAAAAGAAAAAAACAGTTCAATTGTACATTTCAGCACATTGTCTGACTGTCATGTCTCTGCTGGCTTTCCAGGAGATTCCCTTCCTTCAGTGTTGTAAAAGACAAGCAAGAAGTATTGGTGACCTTTAAACTTTCAAAGGAAAACTAAAGACATGGTCAGAAGCCAAGAAGGGAGTCCCATATATTTCTGAGGTTTTGGGCCAAGCTACAGGTAACAAATAATCAGAGCAGACATTACTCAAGATTTCTCAGGACTAGTGTCCAGTATGATAAAGCACAGCCTATTAACAGCCCAGATGTTCTCCTTGTCTCCTCCACAAGCCTAAGATCAGCTCTCAAGTCTCAACTATTGAGTCTTCTGCCCCTGCTTTCCACTACACCTTAATAAAGAAAATACCTTGCAAAAGAGGAATAAAGTCAGGATTGGCTTCAGTTGCATTTGTTCTCATGGAGTTCACACATGGAAAAAAACACTGCACACTGTTCCTCATGTAATATTTTCACAAATATGCCAAAAAACCAATACAATGCCTACAAAATTAGTCAACTCAATGCGTTAATGTCAATAGAAAAGATTTTTCAAGTCAAGTTTTTTCAGGCATTTGTCTGGGCCCAGCTTTAACGGATAGGTTCACAAGGAGTTATCTTAGATCACGAAATAAAGTGCAGACTTATTTAACTCATTTCACATATGACAACAAATCGGTAGAGCTGCAAGATTATTTGAGGAGAGTTTAGATTACATGATGAGAAACAATCTACAAATAAGAGGATGCAATTCAATAAATACCATGACAAGTTCAAAGGAAGCAATAATCAAGTGCACAATAGGAAGCACCTGGCTTTGTTGCAGATTCTATACTATAGGATCAAGGAGTTATAGATCACAGTTGAATATGCCAAGCTTATTTTGCAAATATTGCAGTGGCATGAAACATTCCAGGTGAAATAATGCAACCAGCTTTGGACACTGAACTTCAAAAAAAGGATAGACTAGAA